TCCCGTGTCCCCCCAGAACTGGAAGGGGACCCCTGTCCCTGCCTGGCTCCTCAGCCATAGGGGGCCTCCCCAGTCCTGTCCTCATCCCTGGGATCCCCCTTTTTTCCCCCCTATTTCTCCATCTTCTTGGAGTCTCCTTCCCTAACCACCGGTTTTGGGGGTGGGAGGGGACCCCTGTCCCACGCTGTTCACTGTAATTAGCGTTATGGGGTCCCCCTTGTTGTCCTCACACACACACACACACACCCCCCTCCAAGGGCCAGCACCCCAGGGGTGACAGCTGGGCTGGGTACTGGTTCTGCAGGAGGAACTGCCGGGGGAACCCCAACTGCCTGGTGGGCATCGGGGAGCACGTCTGGCTGGGCGAGATCGACGAGAACAGCTTCCACAACATCGACGACCCCAACTGCGAGCGCCGCAAGAAGGTAGTGCCCCCCTCCCCTCAAAAAAAGCACGTTCTGCCCTTCTGGGGACGGATGGGGACGAGGGGAGGTGACACCTGGCGTGGCTGGGGAGTTTGGGATGCGGCTGTTTTTCCGCGGGGAAGCGGCCGCTCTCAGCTGCTGGGTTTCTCCGTGCTCCTCCGCAGCGGCGAGTGACGACTGTTGCTTTCTCTCTCACGCCAGAACGCGTTCGTGGGCTTAACGAACCTCGGCGCCACGTGCTACGTGAACACTTTCTTGCAGATGTGGTTTCTTAACTTGGAGCTCCGGCAAGCCCTCTACTTGTGTCCCAGCACCTGCAGCGACCACACAACCCGAGAGGGCGACCCCAAAGACAAAGGTGGGTGGAAGCTGTGAATGGGAGGAGTTTTCCTCATTTCCTTCTCCAGTTTTACATTCTGGCATCGTCTTCGGGGATAATGTTTGTTGGGAGAATCAGTGGGTGAAGCTACAGTCGCTCCTCCGGTCTCCACGCTGTTGTTTCCGAGTCCATGCCTGGCTTTTGGGAACAAACCATCCTTTACCCGAGTTATTTCTTAAATCAGAGCGATCCAATCTGGTTGAAGTAGCCGGTGTGGGTTTGTTTGTTGCCAGGCTGCTTCCCAAACTGGTTCCCAGCTTAACGATGGCGCTGGGAATAGAAGCTCGTGGGTTGGGGCCGATCCGCGGAGCCACACTCATCCATGGGAGGGCAAAACTTTAGGTCCTTGGTACAAACGAGGCTCCCAGCGCCCTCGGAACGGCCGTGACGGGCGCGGGGGACGTACCTTTATGATGATATAGCGCTATAGGTGCGCTCTGGGTCACAGCAGCTGCCTGATTTTTTTTCCTGTTCTTGTTTTTAGGGTGTTTTTAAATGCTGTCTCACCATTTAGGGTAAATAAGCACGCTGGTTATCCCGTAGCTGCTTAAATTCTTTGCTCGCGGCTCGTGCCGCGGGATGCTGACGGTCGGATTCGATGATTTCCAACCAAAATGGTTCCGTGATATTTGGCTTGTGCTGAGACATCGTCACTGACACGGACCACTTTGCTTCTCACCTTAATTTAAACCAAATCGTTTCTAATCGTTAAATCCACCCTTAAAAGGGAAGAGGAAGCGAATTGCATGGCCGTAACTGGTGCGACTGGTTGTTTTCACAGACTATGAGCCTCAGACCATCTGCGAGCACCTGCAGTACTTGTTCGCCTTGCTGCAGAACAGCAAGAGGCGATACATCGATCCCTCCGGATTCGTCAAAGCGCTGGGCCTGGACACCGGGCAGCAGCAGGTAGGTGGGAGATGCGCCCCTCGAGTCATCAGCCTTCTGTAAAAAGATGTGAAACTGCCCTTTTGGGTTATTTTAGCGTCTCTGAGGTGGAATCTGCGGCTGGGTGCAAACACAAAGGGAGAAGCGGAGCTCAGGGCTCTTCCCGTTGGTGTGGGAGATCAGGAGGAGCCCTGGGAGAGATGGGATGGGGACAGGGAGTGTTTTTAGTGTCTCATCGACCCTGGCCCTGTGCAGGATGGGAGCCAAAGCTGCCCTGAGGGTCCTTTTGCAGGTGCTTCAGGAGCTGCTCCTCCCAGGGCAGGGAAATACTTGGCAGTGGGCAGGGGTTGAAGGCCCCTCACAGGGTGAGAAGACATTCGGTCGGGTCATTGAGAGCCAGCCAAGGTCCACCGTGAGTGTGTGGGGCAGAGAAAGCGCGGTTAGAGGGGGCCAGCACTGCGGATGAGTCCTGCAGGACTGTCACTGAAGCTGAAGAGAGCTCAGGAGAAGGGCATGGCTTGAAAATACACTTTGAGAAGTAAGGAGGAGGACATTGTTGGGGCAATCCCGAGCACAGGGCAGGGTGGAGAATGGATGAAGAGCAGCCTTGAGGAGAAGCACTTGGGGGTGTTGGGTGAGGAGAAGCTCAACATGAGCCGGCACTGTGCTCTGGCA